GAGCACCTCAGTGGCTCGTTACGCAGTGTAGGTAAGTTGGTTACGCTGGTTTGCCCCACGGGCCCCACAATTATATACCCTACCCTTTAAACCGACTTTTTTTTTCAATTATTCAGATCACCTCAAGCGAGCTGCCTGTACGACACCTTCCCGCTGAGCACCTCCTTGTCACCGGCCACCTGCAGGTGAGTGGCGTGTTTGTCGATCCACATCAGTTGGGACTCGCTGACGACGTTCCGGATGTACTCGCAACAGTTGCCGAAGGCGCACACCTCGCGGGGGACGCGAAGCGCCTTCATGAACTTCTTGCGGTTCATGTTGGGGATGGCCGTCACAAGGTCCACGTACGCGTTGTACGTGAGCGTGATGTCCTGCGCCAGGCGGGCGCACAGCACCGTCGGCAGCAGGCGGGCACCATCGCTCTTCTCGAGGTAAATCGACCGCAACCGGTTCCGTACGAACTTCTGGAACTCGGCCTCCTTGGGCGGGAAGGTGTCGTGGCGGGGCTTCTTCCCCTTGGTGCGTTTGCGGACAAGCTGCCACATGGCCTTGTGGAATGACTCGGAGGCGAGGACCGTCGCCTCCTCCGGCTGACCGACGTACCTGGAAGGGAACGTGACCGTGAGTATGCGAGCGTGCAAAGGGAACGGTAAGTCCAGCCAGCGCTCCTAGGAGGTGGGCACGCGCCTGTTAGACAAGCACGTCCGGCGGGTGAGCCTAGGCACCGGGCGCTCGCAGTACCTACGCGAGCCCCGGGAGCCACTGGCGTGCCACTAGATCGCCTGGGAGGTAGACAGGCCCGTTGGACAAGCGTGTCTAGCGGACGAGCCTAACCACCAGGCGCTCACTCAAGTTAAGCGCGTGGATAAAGTTGATAGTACTTACCACATGTCCATGGTCTTCTTGTTGAGCAAGGTGGGCCTCGCAGTCTGAAGGCAGATGACATCCACGTCCTGGTCGGGTAGAGGCATGCACTTGTCCACGTCCACGCCGTGCAGGCACAGCATGGGCTCGGACAGCGGCACGCCGAACAAGTCCAGCCGCACAGCCTTCTCCTCGGCGCGGAGGCGCTCTGGGTGGCAATGGCTGTCTGCCAGCTGGTCCAGCCGCTTGATGTACATCCGGATGCTGTAGCCGCGGCCCTTCTTCTCGCGCAGCTTGAGGTCTCGCGCGGACTTGGTGTACTGCGCCCTGGCCTGCAGGGCGCGCAGGGTCTGGTGGTGCTCCGCGGAGAAGGGCGTGTCTTCGGGCAGCCCGGCGTACACGCGCAGGCAGTCCCACACCTTCGCAGCGTTTTCAGGGTTCGTCAGCGTGTACCAGAACTGCGTGAGGACGTCGACGGGCAGGCTGGGGTCCAGGGCGCCCTGGAGGACGCCGCAGGCGAGACGCGCGGCGAACCGGAAGGTTCCCTCGATGATGACGGGCAGGCCGACGCTGAAAGTGAGAGGCGTGCGCATGCGGCTGACGTACGCCCTGCACACGGCCTTGAGCTTCTCGGCCTCGGCCCTGTCCTCGGGTTTGTGGGCGTCCTTCCACTGCGTGAAGGCCCTCTCCAGCACCAGGGCCAGCAGCAGCGCCACCGACGGCATGGTGCGGCCGCCCCGCACGAAGCGCGACATCATGTGCGCGTTCCAGTTGTCGATCTCGGCCAGGCGTCCCGCGTCCAGGGACTCGGGCGAGGCCGGGATCAGCAGGACGCAGTCCATGTGCTGCCGGGTGAACGGGTTCACACCGAAGTGGGTGGCGTTGGAGGACAGGACCGCTGGATCCGGAGCGGTATCGATCTGCGTGGCGCGGCTCGCGAGGTGCTCCAGCACGTCCATGGCCTCGCCGCTCCCCACGCCGGCCTCAGCCTGTTGGTCGCGCAGCTGGAACAGGGTGTTGAGGCCGAAGGTGTTGTCGAAGTTGATCTTGCCCTCGAACTCCAGGCCGCAATCGACGTGGGTCTTCAGCAGGCGGCGCCTCCCTGCGTTGTCCGGGACGATCACGGGAAGCACGACCACGGCCTCCTTGCCCAGCCCCAGGTACATGATGTGGTCCAACAGCACCTCCTCGCACTCGTCGAACACTGCGCTGTCCTTGTTGCCGTCCTTGAGCTTCAGCGGTGCGTAGGCGGAGATGCGTATCAGCGCGCGGCCACCCCTGCAAGGTAAAAGATATCGTTAGTTGTCATCAAGTGGGGCTAGGAAGGAAAACCTGCTACACTATTAGGTAGGTACTCACTTGGTCTCGTTCAAGAACTTCTGACAGTACGCCTGCATCAGCTTCACCTCGGGCGCCACGGCGTGGCCGATGAAGGGCTTCCGCACTTCCATCCACTTGCGCGCGTCCAGGGCGGCGACCAGCTCCTTCTCCTGCTCGGCGGTCATCGACTTGGTCCGGAACTCCTTGTTGACAGCGTCGGCACGCTCGCGCACCGCGCGCCGGATCTCCTGGCGAACCTTGTCGTCGGCGTTGGCGAAGCGCTGCGCCAGGTAGTGGATGCCCTTGGTCATCTCGGCCTCTGTCTTGCCCAGGGTGAGGTAGTCGTCCAGGATGTCGGTGAAGGTGACGGCAGCGTCGAGCGGGGTCGCGTCGAACTGGTGCAGCTTAGTGCCGTCGTAGACCCGAGTTCTGTGCGACACTAGGACGTGCCCGTCGAAGATGGCCGACAGCCCCACGTTCATCTGGTCGAGGTCCTTGTTGACGTACACGATGGTCACCCGGCGCACCTTCAGGTTCTTGTGCGCTTCCTGCAGCCCGAGCCTGGCCGCTTCCACGTCCCACTCTCCGATCTCCCCGTCAGTGTAAACGTGCAGGTCGATGACGCCCTCGTCCGGCAGGAGCTGGATGAAGCACTCGGGGCTCGTCCCTCCCAGGGTCAGGTCCTCATCGCCTAGGTACTCGACCACCTCCGTGCACGTCGTCCTGTACTCGCCACAGCTCCCCCATAGGATCCACTTGGTCTCGGCGGTGGTCGTCTCGATCTTCTGGACGTCCGCCGCCACCCAGGCTGGGTAGATAGTTCCGCCACGAATCGACCCGCTCACGTCGATGCACACCCAGGTGGTGTCGGCCTGCGGGACGGGTGCCTCGACCGGGACGGGGGCGTCAGGGGCTGACCCGTTGTCCACCATGGCTGCGGGGCTCGAATCTGGAACAATATCGGAGGGAAAATGTCAAATGACGGAGCTGCTAATAGCAACAGAGTCAGGAGTCAGAGCCTCTAAGCACCGACAGGGACGCCCCCGCCCCGCCCGCCTCTTCTGCCAAAAAAACATAGCGGCCAGTGACGTCACCGCGTCACCACACGAGCACTTGACCTTACGCCTCCTCCAGGCTATCACGCTCAGATTCCGACGTGCACTGTACAGTACGCCACAGATTGTGTGTCACATGCCATACACGCGGGCGGTGGGCGGCACGTCTCCCCGTTGTCTGGACAAATAATGTTGTTTTTGTTGTGCGTGGGTCGCTTTCCCTATATCGACTCGGCCCGCACGCCCATGTTTGCGAGCACAAACTCACTCGGGCAGCATCGACCAGCTCGCTCAACACGCCCTGCTCCCTGACGCGGCCTGCCGTGGGGCGCCCGGGAATCACCGAGTGACTCACTCCCCCCCCCCTCCCCCAAATCTGCCGGCACTTGCGCCATGTTGCGACGCGGTGGCGTGGGCGTGCATAGGCAGTCCACGCACGCACGATCGGAGGGCACGAATAGAACATTGGTTATCACAAAGCTTTTGGTATTGAGGCAGTTTCGCGCGGTTTCACCCCATTAGTGAACAGTGCCCGTGCCCCCTCTCATCGCGACGACTCGCGACCCGGCACTTTTTACTCGCTGACACTCTCCATGCCAAGTTCAACAGAATGAGAGGGTGCATGCACTGTACTTCTGACCAGTTGTTACTCCCGTCTTTTGGTTCCGCAATGCATGATTGGGGGAGGGGTAGGCATACAGCCCTAGCCAAGGCCGAACTAGAACTGCTAGTCTAGTGACGTCATTTAAAATAGTATCGATAGTGTGACAGTATCACTAGCACTATCGACCTATCAGAATTGGAGCCGCTCAACGAGCAGGTGTCACACTCCACGACACCACACCCCACCACGCAAAGTCATTTCCTTTCGAAGGCTAATGATAAGAAAGTTAGAGAGAGCCGGCATCCGGTACTGCACACGTCACTAGGCATTACGTGTTTGGCAGCAGGGGACGAGCCCCGTGCAAGGAGCGGGTAGGCAACCCACGTGCACGCCTGCCCGGCGGTACAGTATCACGGCGTCAAGCACCCAAAACGGTGAAATGAAAGTCAAAGACTTGTTTATGTCGGCGATTCGCGCATACATCATAGCACAGCATCAATGAACGCTACCGTACGTGAAGGTCAGGCCGGTGCGAGGTCCGGTGCCTCCAGGCTGCAAATTGCGCAACATCCGGCCTATACGTCCATGCTCACACTGTTTTCGCAAACACCATTAATTGGGCTTGTGGACAATGCCGAAGGTAACCTTAAAACTTAAAAGTTATTTATCTAAGCGAAGCTCAGCTTACAAAATCTTACGTGTCTCTCGGGATGAGGTGGTGCGTCAGGCTCGTCAGGTCGGTGAGGCGTGGCAGCGGCCGGATCTGCGTTTCCTCCTTCGCTGCCGGTTCTCAGGCCCCGGCCGGCGCGACTGACTCCTGACTCTGACTCGCGCAACCGCCGTACCGCCGAGCCGCCGGGCCGCCGCGCCGGCTTCGCAGACGACGACGGCGACGAGGGGCGCCCGATCGCGCTCGGAGGCGGGCGAGTCGCGAGAGCGGCAGGCCCGAAGCGTCGTCGCTCCCGCCTACGCTGTGCCGGCTTGCGCCCCGCGGGTCGCAGACCGCGTCGCGCTCGCCCGCGCCCAGCATGACGCGCCGCGACTGTGGCCGCTGGACCTCCCCGTCGACCAGTCCCAGCGACGGGGGGAAAGGGGGAGAGGGGGTCGGACTTTATGGGGACGGGGGGCGGCGCGGCGCCACGCCCCGGCCGGAAGGGGGGGGGGGTTACTGCCCGTCGGCGTCGCTACCAGGCGCCATTCGACCGGAGCGAGGCCCCTGCGGGGCCAAGCCTGCGGTGGTGTGGACGCAGGTGCGAGAGGGTCCAGAGAGGAGAGGACTAAAGGGGGACCGCAGGGTATTCAATAAAAGCTGCAATATTAAACATTAAACGAGCCCGACATCAAGGATTGTTTGGAGCGAAAGCTTTGCCCTTGCCACGACTTTGCAGTGTCGCCGCCAGTCTCCTGGACTCCCTGGACCAGCTACCAAACATCGGTATGGCGTCACCGGGATGCCCCCAGCGAGGACGAAACCGGTTTCGGCCCGATGACGGGGAGGATCGTCAGCCCCACCGCCGCGGCGGCCGTGCCCACCATCCCGCCAAACGACGGCGTCGATACCCCGCGCTAGAGAGGCTCTAGGGACGCGGCGCGTCCGTCCGTGTGGCCGTCCGTGAGTCCGACCGTCCTTCCCGCACCCGCATGGCGCGCCAGGCCAGGCCGCAGGCCGCCACCCGCCACGGCCCGGCCGCCAGTCTATCCTTGGTCCCCTGCCCCTCTCCGCCCCGCCCGGCCTGCCGCCTGCCT